ACAATTGCGAGTGGGGTAATATAAAAAATGAAAGAAGATTATCTTTCAATATATGATCAAAATATATAAAAAAATTGTAAATATATCAACAAAAAATTTATAAAATTAGTACCTATTAATTAAAAATTTTAATTTGATATCAAAGTCGAATATTTAAATCTTTACCTTGCTAAATAGCTAACTTTCTGCTGCATTGAAAAAAGGGTTAAATGCTAATTTTGGTCCCTCAACTTTAAGGTTTTGTACAATTTTCATCTCTTAATTTTTTTTACACTTTTGTAATCCCTTAACTATGAAAAATGTATTTTTTTAGTCTTTCGTTAGTTAATCTGTTAAATCTATCTAAATCTGCACATTTTTAATCCATCAATTTTAAGTTAAGAGACGAAAAATATGTATATATTAGAAGTTAAAAACTAAAAATGTACAGATTTAGATAGATTTAATGGATTAATCAAAAGAAAGATTAAAAAAATGCATTTTTCATGGTTAAAGAATTAAAAAAGTGTAAAAAAAGTTAAGGGATGAAAATTATGTAAAATATTAAGTTGAGGGACCCAAATTGCATTTAACCTTGAAAAAAAGTAACATGTAAAAATTATAATTAAAAATTATATAAAAATATTGATTACGTGTCATTATTTACACCATTCATGGAATCACAGGCGGAGACAGGAGGCTGTGGGTCAAGCCCCCTAAACTTTTGTAAAACGATGAATTAGGTTCAATAATTTTTGTTTTTATTGTTTCCATCTTTATTTATTTATTTCATAATATTTTAATTATTTTCTAGTTTTTCTTGTTGAAGACTATATTTGGTAACTATAAGAAAAGTGAAGAAAGTAAAAAATAATATGAAAATGAGAAAAAAAATAGAAATTAATTGAATAAAAAATATTTATTATCATACTTTCACAAAATGTTTATTCATTAATTTTTTTTCTATTAGTAGTATTTTTCTACTCAATTTGTGTTATTATTTACCTTTCAATTGATGGCATCATTTCCTACTGGACCAATAAATTTTATTTAAAATTACTTTATTTTATTTTATTAATTTTTCCTTTTATCAAATTTTCATTGACAAATGATCACACTTTTCTAAAGGAACCATGAACGGAGTTATGATGCCTGGTAATGGAGGGATGATTATTGCCCCTTTTCTAAAATTGAAGGTTTTTTATGAATTCTTTTTTTTTTTAACATATTACAATTATTTACAAGTTAATTGGCAGATGGGAGAAAGGATTTTTGCGAGACTTGAACATGCAATCCACAAGAGGTTAATAGTCATAACTCATGATCCAATACCACTAGACCGGAGCGGTTGTTTTTTATGAATTCTTTTATAATAAAAGGATGACAATGACTTTTTTATAAAGTTGGAGGATTTTTAGTAGTATTAATCGTATGGTTTTGCCCCCTAAAAAACTCTCCTAACTCCGCCACTTACGGAATCTTGACTCTGGTGTAATATTTTTTTCTTAAAATAAAATGACTTCGCGTAAACTTTCTTCTTTTTGGTAATTGACTTGGCCCCGACAGTTTTTTTTTGGGGAAAACTGATCTGGCGTCAAATTTTTTATTTTTATTTTTTATTTTGGTAAATTTAGTGCTTTCTAACCGGTCGCCCCCCTCTGTCATCCCATGTGGTTTGCGTGATTGAACAGGGCAAAGCCTTATGTTAGGCTCCTAAACTTATCACATTTGTTGAGATAAGCCACTGAGTAAATGTTTAGCCCTATAAATCCTTAGACGCAATTGTCCATGCTCAAATTAGCCCTTCGTTAGCAGCTACCATTAGACTATATGTTGTGTTAGTAAAAAATGATTAAATTGCAAATTAGTCTAGAAACATTTTAAATTTCAAATAATATATGGTAGTTTTCTTAACTCTATATTAAAAATTTTAAGGAAAAAAAAGAAATGAATCTTGCCATGATTTTGCTCTCATCAAGTTTAATTTTTCTTTTGTTTCTCTCTAAATTTTTTAGTAAGATTTTTTTAATTTGTATCAAATTAAAAATATAATAAATATATTTTTTTATTGATAATCCATTGATTCAAATAAAAATAGTTTAATTCTTTTTTAATGAAGTCTTGAATTTAAGTTTTATAAATTAAAAAACAAATGTTAGGAATGTTTTTTTCTTATGAGATTCAACTGGGGTTTGACTTGCTTCAACTTCAAATTAGTTGGGGCTTTTATGACTTTTAAATACTAAGGAATTTAGTAAAAAAGTAAATATATTTTTTATCATTAGTTTATTTTGGAGAACACAAAAGGGATCCTTAATTTCAATAGTAGTACCACATGAATAATTTTTATTTTAATTAAGAGTAATGGAAGTTTACTTCATTAAAACGAATGTTTGGGAACTCCAACCTTCAAAATCTTTACATTCCCAATTACCAAATTATACGATACTGTCAATGCTTACCTTCATGGTTGTTTAGCATCCCATCACTCCGCACTTAGTCAAGCGTTTAATTAAGGTATAACAAGTCTCAAAGCAGTCTCTACTGGCTCTAAAATCCAATCTGATGGGCTAATGTTTTTCATACCTTGATTCTTGTCTTAATTAATCCAGTGATATGCTATTACTTGAGTTAATTAGCTCAAAGACCGTTCCCTCCTCCACCTCTTTGCCATTAAAAACTCTAGCATTCCTTCTTAACCACAAATACCAGATCAATTCAGCCCACGGAACATCCCACTTCTTTTATCTCTTAAAAATTTTTAATTTGATATACTTACGTAGTTAAGGTCTACTACGTTGTCCCTACCATGGCAGGGATTTTTTGTTGGACAACTTACAATCTCCAAAACTAAAAATATTGGTCTTTTTTGATATATTTAATAATGATGGGCAATAAAAGAGGGAATAGCTCTCCCCTTTCACTAAATCTCTCCTCACTCAACTTAAAATTCAAGGTCTTAACCATTGAACCACTTTTTGAGAGTTTAAACAAACATCGCTCTTAATCAAGAATTATTCTTACATTGCAAATTCAAGACCTATATATAGTTGATTCTCAAAAGGATAATGATAAATATACCTTGCACAATTACACACTTCATTACACATTAACAGATCTGTTAATGTGTAATGGAAATTGTTAGTTTTAACGATATAAGTAATGAAAACTGTTAATTTTAACGGCACAAGTAATGGAAACTGTCAGCGTTAATGTCATAAGTAACAGAAACCATCAACGTGTAACAGAATATGTAACTTTACTATGTGTACCAATCATTTTCCTTCTCAAAAACTATCAAAGATATAGCTATGTGATTGAAACATCATTTTTTGTAGCCCCAGGAGAGTAATTTTATTGGTTTAGAATTTGAGATTTCAACTTAAAGATTTTACATTTGAACCTTGAACCGAGTAGAGAAGGGTTTGGAAAAAAATAAGGTTATCCCCTTTTATATAATTTATCACTAGTAGTATGTTTGGGTTTAGAGAAATAGAGAAGAGAGAAGGATTTTTTGGCCAATTGAATTATAACATTTAATGGTAAATGTAAAAACAAAAAAAAAAAAATCATCATTTTTTGTCAACGGAAGAGATCCGACCTTTTAAGTTCTTTGATTGTGGGTAACCATGAATTGTGCCCGTTTGAGGACGATATGTCTGATTTAATGATAAATGCACATAAAAATGAAGGCTGTAAGGGCATTGGAAGAGTGGTTGAGTTGCTATTAAGCATGAGAACAATGGCAGCCATGGTTGGTCGGTCAACAACATTTTCTTGAATGCATAGCAACCCGATATAGATGCATCTCATCATTCAATCCTCAAACCATTATTCAAAGCTGGATCTATGAGATTTATTCCTGTTCTTTCCCTCCAAATTTTCAGTGCCCACAAAAAGTTGTAAATACAAACATGAATACAACGTTAAAATAAGATCTTCCTAACCAAGATTTGAACTTTATTTGTGACAAGATGGAAAAATAAGTTTAGATTTTCATACTTATATAGCTTATTAGATCCTCTACGTTGTTCCCATTTCAAAAACAATTGTTTTTTTAACCACATATAATTTCCAATAATACGTACCCCAAAACTATAAACATTGGACTTTATTGAGAAATGTCAATGCATTGCATATTTTGAAATTATGTATCCACTACATACATATCAATGTCAATAAGAGCATTTTTTTTTCTTTTGATTTTGGATTGCACAATAAGAAACAACTCTCTTTCATTCCTTAACTCACTTCATTCGCATGCTATGCGATTTGAACTTAAAACTTTTTATTTTCAATAAAAAAAATTACCACTAAATTACTTAAATCATCAACTTAATAAGAGCATTTTCCTTGGTAAAAATGAGGACAGTTTAAAAGTCAAGATCTAATATTGTCTTAATGCAATATACATAATAAAGTCTTTAATTCTTGACACTTTGATGTATTGCCTTGTGTTTTGTCTCTTACAAATATTGCCAT